TTAAAATTTTTTAAAAATCCAGGATCTAGACTGTAAACACACATTCTAGGGAGCAAACAAGTTGGCAGGTTCATAGGACGTGAAGTTTACCTCTTCCCACAAATACTTTCTAAAGTTACTTAGTGCCACATAAGTAACAAGGTTTTTGCCATCCCCTCTCCAGGGGATCTTCCCAACCTAGGGATCAAACCCAAGTTTGATCCCGCATTGCAGGCATACTCTTTACCATCTGAACTACCAGGGAAGCCCTAAGTAATAAGGTTTACTGGTGTAGGCCTGCAGCGGGCCTGGGCAGTAAGAGGTCTTCACCCCGGTGTGGGACTGGCATATGAGCTGCACAGGGTGAGGAGCTGTCTTTCTGGGCATCCAATTCTCCACCTCTAAGATGAGATGATCAAACAGTCATTAGGTCTCTTTCAAGCCTGGACATTCAGTGGAAGTACACATGTGAATCCATCACCTGACTCTCCTTTCATTCCTAAAGAAGCAGAGAGTGTCACCAAAGAACCCATAAGACCTTGTCTTTACGAAGGGTGGGAAATGCCTTGGCCCTGCCTGATTTCCATGGCCCCCAAGTTGGTGAACCATGTAACATTCAAGAGGTCATGGCCAGACATTGTCACTGGAGGTTCAATAACACTAATCGTCCTCTCCACCCTCAAACTACAGTGGAAGGAAGATGGAAGAGGCTGTTTAGTTGGTAGGAATTTCCATCTGCTCAGGCCTTGGGCCCCAGGCTGGGTGAGTCTACTTCATCCCAATGATAATTCCTACTTCCTCTCACAACAAATTCATTGTAGACCCATTCACTGAGTAACAGATTTTTCCATCATCAATAACTTGTGAAAATTGAACTAACTCTAAGAATATCACTCAGCCTTAAAAAAGAAAGAAATCTCATCGCAGGTTACCACATGGATGAAACTTGAGGGCAGGATGCTAAGTGAAATAAGCCAGTCACAAAAGACAAAAACTATATGAATCCACTTACATGAAGTACCTGGAGGAGTCAAATTCCTGGAGACAGACAGTAGGAGGGTAGTTGTCAGGGGAATGGGGAATTCAAAATTTAATGGCATAGAGTTTCAGCTTTGCAAGACAAAAAAATTCTGGATGATTGCATGACAGTATGAATATATTTAACATGACTTAACTGTACCCTTTAAAATGGCTGAGAAAGTAAATGGAATGTTATGTGTATTACACCACAATGACTTTTTAAAATTTAACTAATTATATGATCATTTGGGAAATCAAGAGTAACCAATAATTATAGATCATAATGATTCCCTTCATCTCCCCAAGTACCCCACCTCCTTCAAACCTAGATGGATCTTAGGGTTTTTGGCACCTTGAACACACAAATGTCCATTTTTGTGTCTCCCCTTTTGAAATGATGTGGCTTCTAAAATATCAAATTAATGCCCTCTTCCTAGGCTCCCAGCCAAATCTCTACCACACAACCCACTAACTAGACATCTATTCTGTTGAACAGGCCAGTCTATTATCAAACAAGTATCTCTGGGGACAACTTGTATATTGGTTACATAAGAGATGGATGCCTTCAATCCTTGGGATTTCTTTCCAGTTAAGATTAATACAAGGAAGAGATTTTGGGAGAAGGAGGGGGGCAAAGGAGGAGACAGTGATTTCAGAACTCGTTGCTTTTGGAGAAAGAAAGATCTAGAAAAAGCACCATCAAGGGATAGTGTTAACCAGTTAGAGGACAGCAGAAGTACTGGGCACTCAGGACTGGGAAGATAATTAACACGGGGAGAAGGGATGGGGACACAGAATGGAAGGGAATATCGGAAATCACTATACAGACTTGGGGATTTTGTCAAGTTCAGCACACTATTGTTTAGCCCACTCACTGGCACCTGCCCACGGAAGTGGCGAATCACTCCCTAACACTCTAGTGCTCTAGTCTATGTAGGTTGTTTGCTGCTCGGAAAAGACCCTGAAAGCCCCTTTGGAAAGGATGCTTATGATCCAGTACCCCTGGCTAAAGAGTTGGTTCTGGCTAAACTGTGTCTGAGTGGAAAGAAAGGAATTCCTAAGAGGAAAGGAAGGCTGGGGAAACCCTGGGCACCAGCAGGGAGAATTATGCTCTGTTCCAAGAGGCTCAGAGTCTGTCATGGGTGGTGATCTATTTAACCTCACTGCAGGCCAAGGTGAACGTCCCCAAGGACACAAAGGAAAAAGAGCATAATGAGATAGCCTTCCTCATTCACATTCATTACACCAGCATTTTCCTTTCACCACAATCTACCAACCCAAACCAAGCCACACCCATTGCTTTTGGCTGCCAACCTGCTCATGCCTGCAAACGCAATTGCAAACACTCAACCTCCCCTCATCTCCCACAAACCACATGGCATCTGGGCTAAGGAAGCCTGTATCCTCCTTTCCCAAAGCCTTACTAGAAAAACAGCAGAACCTGCTAGAGCAAAAGTCACATTGGATCATACAATAAGGATATGTATAAATACAGGTTCAGAGGAGGATAGAAACAGAGTGAGGGGCCCCAGGATCCACTCATTATAGTTCTCTGCTACCTCTCTCTGTTCCAGGGCATGAGATAAGAACGATCTGGGATGCTGGCAGTTACCCTGCTCATTAACTGAAAACTGAGTAATGGCTAATCAATTCCATCAAAGTGGTGGGTCCAACCATACTTTTGGAAATAAGCATTACTGCTATATATATGTGTGTGTGTGTGTATGTGTGTGTGTGTCCCCAAATCCCTTTTTCTCTCTTGTATAGATATGAAATCATCAAACACTGATCCTGGTAAATGCTCTTAGTCATGAATGAAAAAATTCCCACAGGAATGGCTGTTATGTGATATGGCAACATCGAAAATGAAAATTCAGGGAAGGCTGCTGAAAGATCAAGCCAGAATCACTCTGTTACTAGTAACTGAATACCTACAGCAAATGTGGTTTGTAGAGGCTAAAACTGCCTGGGTTATTGGTTAAGAATTTCCTCTTCGAATCTCCCCCTCCATGTCCCTTAGGTTTACAATTTAGAATTTCTATGAAATTCAGAGAGTGTTCAAATAAGTAGCTCTGATGATCAAATATCCAAGCTTCTAAATGGGCAGGAAAAGAGATGTGTTATTCAACCCAGCGAAACTTTGCCTTTCAAACTTAATTCACTGCCATATTTATCAAGATGGCCACATTCAACCTTTGCCCTCGGATCTGCCATTTTTTAAATGATCTCTTCCTTATTTCAAGGCATTTTTTCTGCTCCCTTTAGGACACTAGAATCACCATCACCACTAGTTGAAGATGAGGTGATTACACAACCATGATACCATATAATCAGGGTCTAGTCCTCACCCACTATATTTCACATCCCTCAGCTTTCAGTGTAAGTCGCATTATTAGAAACGTGTACTTCGATTGTCTGATCCTGTGGAATAACATAAATTCTTGGATTAAGTTCTTCCGACTGACCCGTAGTGATATAGGGGTGGCAGGTACCCCCCGCATGTGCATAAATCAGAGAACGGAGCTGGGCAAGGAGGGAATCAGTTAAGTAACTAATTGTCATTAAAAAGTGACAGCAAAAGGTTTCTCTCTCCTAGAACTGGTCCTGTGTAAGTCAAAAGCTGCAGAACCCTATGCCACATCAGGAAACAGGAACATGTTCAGACCACTGCCATCAACCTTCAGTTGTTCTCTGATGAGTTCACTGGCAACCTACACCCTGAGTGCCAGATAAATGCTTATCACTCAGCGGATTTGTCCGGAGCACTCCCAACGACTCTCGAAGATCTCTAAGAACTCACCTTGAACTTTCTATAGCTAATCTCCACCCTACCCACACACAATAGGTTGTTAATAAATAATCGATTGTTGACCGATTTCTCATCTTCACCAATGGGCATGGAAGACAAACGGCAAACAAGAGTTGAAACCTTTCACACTATAATTTATCACTGGAGACGTTAAGGCTGAGGGAAAGAAACTGTACAAGTATGAAGGTCACCCTGATAAAGGAAAGCACATGTGGTATGTGAAGACAAAATGCACACAGTACTTATTTCCCAGAGATGACATTTTCTGAAATTCGGTTTACCAAATTGGTCTTTGTTTCCTCATTTAACCCAGTATGGGGTGGGGAGTGTCTAATTCATCTATGACAATCTATTCAAACTGTGAGGGCTCTCCCCTCTTCTTTTACCCTTTGACTATAATCCACCTAGTCCCCATCCCCAAAGCCCTCCCAAATAGTGGCGGGGTGTGGGGGAGCGCTCTGAGACGCCCTTGCTCAGATACTTAGCGGAACTCTGTTCTCCACACGGGCTATTTGGGAGAGTCGCGGTCTCCTCGCTTCACCCACTGCCTCCTGGGTTCTTCTCTCGCTTCGAACAGAGTCAGGGCGATGAGGTAGTCTCCCTTGCGGTCCGGGGAGGCGCTGGCCATGGTCCTGACCTCGAGCTCGGGACTCGAGCGCGGAGGGCGCCCAGGAGCGGCGCTGGGAGAGCGCGCAGGGTGCGGCGGGGAGCGGCCGTCGAGGCCCCCGCCCTTCCCGACCCCGGGGGAGCCCGCCGGCCTTCGCGCGAACCCTTCACTGCATGCTCGGAGCTGCATCAAAAAGGGTGGGGCATCCAGCCACAGCTGCAATCGGAAGCTACCCGGGAGGACTGAAGAAGAATGGAAACCCGGCCCGTCCCCTCCCCCTCCAACCATGCGACCCCCCCAACAGTCGGGGATGGGCCCATCCTTTACCCCCCACCCTCCACCTCCCAGGCCCAGGGAGGCGCGGGCAGCCTTTGTGGACGCACGGCCGCCCACCACCGAGCCCGAGCACAGACAGGGGTCGGGCAGGGTGGGGTGGTGTGCACCTGCAAGAAGCGATATTCGAGGCGGGGCAGGACTGTGGGTACGCTGGGATCCTCGGTTCTCCGCCGAGCTGGAAGGGGGCGAGGGAGGGGCGATACCCACGCCCTATTCTCGGTCTCCAACACCGCCCCCCCCCATACCAACCTGGTCGTTGATGTTCTGCAGGGCTTCCTTGCCCGAGGCCCGCCGGATCTCCACCTTCCTGCTCGATTCAACAGATGGCTCCCCGCCGGCGCGCCGGCCCTGCCGGGAGTAGGGCGTCTGCGGGTCGGGGCCCAAGTGCGCGACGTCCCGCTGCTGGGCCACCACCTGCCCCGAGCCCCGGCCCACCGTCAGCGAGTCGAAGTCGATGGTCTTGTTCTCCGAGGACCCTTCCACCGGGCAGAACATGCCACAGAATTTCTGCCGAGGTTTGGGGCTGCCTGAGCCCAGGTTTTTAAAAAAGGCAGGGACCTCTTCGTCCTCTGCCGCCTTCCCGGATTGCTTCCTCTCAGCCATGGCGTGGGGGCTCGCGGAGGGTCCTTGCCGTTTGTCCGTCCGTCTGCCGGTCCCTACGTCGGCCTGTCTCTAGGCACAAACCCGCTGCCCCGGCTGCAGCCGCGGCTGCCGCTCTCTGCCTACCGCAAGGTGTACAGAAAGGAAGGAGGGCTGGCGAGCGAGCGACCCACCCCTCACGGTCCCTCCCCCTGACCCCGCTTTCTCCCCTCCTTGCCCACGCCCCCCGCCAGCTCCCGCGAGCAGCAAAGTTGGGTCTGGGCGGGTGGCCGCTGCGGCAGCAAGAGCGGAGAGGCTGCCAGTTCCCGGCAGCTGCGGGAGGAGCGAGGCGCGGGCGGGGCGGAGGCGGGGCGCGGCGCGAGGGGAGGGGAGCGAGGAGCCGGGGAGGCCAGGGAGGGCCTCGCTCCGGAAGTGAAGCTGCCAGACCACCGGCTAATGGATGCGCAGCGGAGGGCCCGCTGACCGCTCTGGGCGCCACGGTGAGTACCCTGCAGGGCACGCGGGGGCGAAGATCGTAGGGCGCAGTCCCTGGTCCCTGCGCCCCTCTCCCGGACCGGACCGGCCCAGGCGCCTCTCCCTCACCGCATTGCGGAGGTGGGCCCACGACGAGTGCCCACCGTGGGGAGGGCTCCCTCCCCCTGCCCCGGGTGTGAGATGATGGGTGGGGAAAGTGGCACTCGCTGGCGGGCGCCAGGACACCCGTGGTGGAGGGGCGGGGGGAGAAGGAGGGGCGGCACTGGGGGTGGGGAAGAGATGGCGCAGGCCGCGCGGAAAAGGAGGGACCGTAAGAGGCGCGGGGACACTAGAGCTTCGGTCTAACCACCGGCCGTGGTGGAATACTGGGAGCAGAGATAGAAACGAGATTCTCGCTTACTGCGCCCACAGTGGGGGGGGGGGCGCATCATGGCGGGGAGAGATACAGAGGGGCGTAGCAAATACGAAGTGGGTGGGTGTAAAGACAGAAAATAGATCTACAGTCTGTGCAAGTGTAGCAAGGCGAGGAGTCGGCAGGTACAGCCCAGCGCGGCAACTTAAGGGTATAGTGAGAGGGGATGCAGGTGGGCGGTATTGGCCGAGGGTGCCGTGTACCGTCGCTGCGCGACTGTGCCAAGAAGGGTCCGGCAGAATATCTTCATTTGATATCTTCCGCCCCTTTCTCCCGCCCAAGGGGGAAAGATACACATGGAAGCCCCCCCCCCCGCCCAAATCTCCAGCCCTACCCGGGGCTACCGGCGCCCCGCCTCATTCCACCGCCTCTGTAGCGCACTGCGCCAGAGCCGCGGGGTTTCCTAGGCTGCCAGAAGCCGCGTGCCTGGGCGCTAGTGCGCGCGCGTCCAGTGCAGGATCAGCATGTGGGGCGCGGCTGTGATGGTTGCCTTGAATTGTGTGAGGCCACGCAGCAGAAAGGTGTATGGGGACGTGGTGTGTATGCACGAGTAGATCGATCTAGCCTCAGCCATGGGATTAGTGGGCATCCAGGGGGCATTTTGATGTAACGCCAGTACATCAGGCCAGTAACACAACCTCCAAGAACCCTTCATTGCTTACTTCTATTCCCCGTGTCTTTTCCACGTCTCAGTCCCTGCCCAGGGTTGATTACAGCCCCGCCCCTCTCTCCACAGTAGAAAAACCCTGCAGAAACGATGCCCATCCTCTGGCAGCTCGAGAAGGAGCTCTGGGCATGCTCAGTGATCAGGGCGGGTTTAGACTGGGAAACTGTTAACCACAGGAGCGTGGTGCCGGGCTGAGCCACCAAAGATTCGGTCCCATTGTCAGCCCTTGCCCTTGGAAGGACTAAATGCGGACCCCCAGCCTCCTCCACAATTGCCAGGGAAAGGTGAATGGAGTTAAACTTAGAGGATAACCAATCCCGGCTGGAAGATAAGCCCACCATGATGGGATGAGGAGGAAGGACGGAGGAATGTACCTGTGCAGGGGATAAGAGAAGCAGAGGCGAGCATTTGGACCTAGCACCAGATGTGCTTTGCATTTGAATAAAGTGCCTCCACATGAATTACATTTCCTACTCCTAGCAGACCCCTGGGATGAGTGCTTCCTTATCACCACTTTCCAGGGTAGGAAACAGAGTTAGATGCTTTGCTCAAGGTGACTATATAGTTAAATGATCCAACAACTCCAGTGCGGTCTTCCACCTGAAAGACTGGTTCCTTTTCCACCTTATCCTATCTTTATGTGAAATTTTCACATTTTTTTCCCCTATCCAAGTATTTCCAATCTTGGCCTTATCCTGAAGCACCCAGGTGGCTCAGACCATAGAGAATCAGCCTGCAATGCAAGAGACCCAGGTTCCATCCCTGGGTAGGGAAGATCCCCTGGAGAAGGAAATGGCAACCCATTCCAGTATTCTTGCCTCAGAAATCCCATGGACAGAGGAGCCTGGAGGGCTACAGTCCATGAGGTCACAAAGAGTGGGACATGACTGAGCGACTAACACTTTCACTGGCCTTACCGTGTTACCAGGGATGTTTCACTTCCCATCTTTTTATTTGGAAGGTTGCACTGCAGGTTGAGATAGGCTTTGGAGGAAGAAGCCACTCAAAGGTAGCCTAACTTGAGCAGGACAGTTATGTAGACCTTAAGAGGTGTTTCTTCCTGGGTATGCAATGTCTTTTGACATCTCTTGTTTCCTCTAAATATTATAACTGGGAAGAAGGTCACCGCCATATCTTAGAAGAAGATCATGAGGCAAGAGGGAGGAGCCAATGTACTCAAATCCCTGGGGCTGCTGGGCAAGGACTTGATCCAGCATTTTGCCCTCCCTGCCCTCTGGCACACGCACCTCCTTTCAGCACCTTCGAGAAGAACTCAAGAAATGTGCCTGCAGCAGGAGCAGTTCCCCCGTTTTAGCTGCAAGTTGGTGTCTGTGGCATATGGGCCCCATTTGGACTGATGGAGAATTTTAGGGCAAGAATGATCATAGCCACTTAATACTCCGTGATAGCAACTCGAGATAGACGCTCTTCCCTTTTTAAATCAGCCGGTCTCCACCAATCCTTCACAGATGTGCCTCCTGTCTTTTTCTTTGTTTTCAAATGACCCATTCAAGTTCAGATGCTATGAAGAAAGCATTGTGTTACTAACTTAACATTTATAGCAAAAGAAAACCCCTAGTTGTGCATTTGCAAAGCATAACCAGGCATAACCAAGGAGAATTAATTCATAACTTCATTTGTAGATTGTAAAACCTATATTAAGTTGTATCTATGTTATTATATTAAAGCATATTATGCAAGTTATATTGCTAAACCCATATTAAGTTGATTTTAAATGTTTGAATGATTCTAATGGGATTTTTAATCAAAGGAATGAAGTAACTCAATATTGTTTAGTAGCTCTAATTAGATTATGAAGGATTTGGGGGGGATTTTTTTTTGGCTGCATGGCAATGCTTGTGGGCCTGGCAGTGAAAGCACCAAGTCTCAACCACTGGACCGCCAGAAAATTTTCAAGAATTACTGTATTTTTGAATAAGTGTATTAATAGTCTTCACACTGGGTATTGTCATTGTTGAGTCTATAAGTTGTGTCTGACTCTGCTTCCCTGTAACCTGGCAGGACTGTAACCTGCCAGGCTCCTTTGTCCATGGAATTTCCCAGGCAAGAATACTGAAGTGAGTTGCCATTCCTCCTACAGGGACACTGGATATTATCATCATAAAAATACACTATTTATTATATTTATACAGGGCAGCTTGGCTTGGCTGGAGTGGAGAGACACCCAGACACACCATTGTGCTGAGTGGGTGACATCTTCCTGTACCAGAAGCTGGACACATAAGCGTCTTGGCTATCACAGAACACTCTGGAACAGACAGGTACCTAACAAACAGCCTCCTGATTTCAGTTTTCATGTGGGAAAGAGCTTGAGTCCTGTCCATCACTGGAGCTCCATTAATGGCATGCCTGATGAGTATATGGTGGGGAAGCCCGATTGCAGGAGGGTCCCCAAGAGAATACAAAGTCACTGTAAGCACAGAAGAGCAATGACTCAGCTACAACGTGAGGCAGTCTCCCTGTTTCCCGCTCCCGCTTCCATCCCTCACCAGGTATCCATGCTTCCCGGAAAGGGGAGGGCTGTGTGGTAAAACTGAGCCTTGTTTCCCCAGGAGCCCAAGCCACTCTGCTGGGAAACGTCCCTCCAAGAGTTCTGGCTGCCAGAGTGGAGGCGTCTCCCCACTGGCTAGAGAGAGGTGAGGTGGCAGAGACCCAGAGAGGGGTGGAAGGAACTCACACGCGCTTCCGGTGGTGCAGGTCCCCACCCCGCCTCCTCAACGTGACTACAGAGCCTCTGGCCGTGGTCCTGTCGTAACAGATACTAACCTGGGGCAGGCCTGGAGACCTCACGGAAAGGGCCAAGTTCTTGCCACTGAGCAGCAAACGTGATTGGTCCAGGACCTGTCGACTGGTGGGTTATAGGTCTAGAAGCTCATCTGGGATATTCTCAGTTTGAAGTCAGTGCCAGTCTGTCCCATAAGCTAATCAGTAGCCATAGAGTTCCGGCCAGGCAGTATCCGGCAATGGCGCTGGCCCTGTTGGAGGACTGGTGTAGGATTCTGAGTGTGGATGATCAGAAATCACTGATGGTTATGGGGATCCCAGTGGACTGCAGCGAGGATGAGATTCAGGAGGTCCTGCAGGAGACTTTAAAGCCTTTGGGCAGGTATAGACTCCTTGGCAAAATATTCCGGAAGCAGGAGAATGCCAATGCAGTGCTGTTAGAGTTGCTGGAGGACCCTAAGGTCTCTGTGATCCCCAGCGAGGTTCAGGGCAAGGGGGGCATCTGGAAAGTCATCTTCAAGACCCCTAACCAGGACATGGAATTTCTGGAAAGACTGAACCTCTTTCTAGAAAAAGAGGGACAGACGGTCTCGGGAATGTTCCGGGCACTTGGGCACGAGGGATTGTCTCCAGCAGCCTTGCCCTGCATCTCACCAGAGTTACTGGCCCACGTGTTGGGACAGGTGATAGCGCATGCTCAGCCTC